AAGCCCGTAGAGTGGTAAAAAGGGGTTACAGCAAGGTGTCCCTTCTGACCTTTTCAAGGAAGGGAACCCATTGCTTCTGACGGAACATTTGCTTATTGAAAACTAAAAGAGGCGAATATGACAAAAGATTATTTGTTCAGTCCATACAGTGAGGACATAGTCTTTTGTCATGCCTTGGTAGATTACTGTGATTTAAAGTGTTTGACAAAGTTCATAAGCATTTGAAGCAAAGCTTGGGTTGAGGACTTGTGTATTCTCTCTTCTTCCCTTTTTGAACTGGGCCTGGGTGCTGGGAACGTGAGTACAAACCTTCATATAGAAACATACCCCTAGGTGGTTCTGCCTCTAGGCCGCAAAGGCTCACGCCTGTTCTGTTGTATTGGACAGCATGCGGTACTTCGACAGAGCCGCTTTGTTCGTGGAAGCGTGTCTCGAGTATGGTGCGTTGGAAATCAGTGAGGACACAGATATCCTTTATGAGGGTGTTGATGCTGAGGGGGAAGAAGTGACATGAGTGGGGCTTGGAATTTCTCTAGTCAAACTGCCTGGGCAGAAATGATATTATATTGAAAAAGATCCATGTTTTGACTCACCAAAGCCAGGTGGGAGAGATGGGAGGAGGAAGAATTGGAGCAAGGGTCACTGTACCACTGGCTTTGGCCTTGGCTTGATGGAGGGGACACTGAGAGGACTGCACAGGAGGAGCCCAATTCCATAATGTTTGTTTGTATTTCAAAGGAAGCTGAAGAAATAATTTAAGAAAGGCATAAGGACCTGGTACTATAAAATAGTATTCTTAAATAAATTTTGTGTATTTATCTGGAAAGTATATACTGAAAAATAAAAAAAAGAAAGATTCCCACTGCACCCATGATGACAGTCTGATATGGAACAAGACAGAACACTTCAGAGAAATGTGTCTCAAAGGCAGGCCATGTGGGCCACCCACAATCAAGAACATAATATTTCTTCTAGATGCCTCTTGAGTCACATATTTTTCTTTGAACAGAATAGGCTTAAGGATACAGCTTCCAATCCCTTGTGTTTGCATAGCCCTACTTTTCTCATTGCACTTTTACTTGAATTTTTACATTTGGCCTTATTTCCATATGTCAGGTATTTAGTTCTGTGCACATATATATTTTTTTAAACTAAAACTAAACCAAAATTTTTGAAAACTAAAAACTAAAGCAAAAGCTTACTCAAGGACATGTAGCTTGTTACTGGTGAAATTGACTTTGGTTCAAAGTACTACTTTGAGACATCAAAACTCAGCATACCAGTGCTGTCCAAAAGTCCAGCACCATGATGTAGAGGCTAGGGAAGTGAATATCTGCCCCACGCCCCATGCCCTGCCCCCCCAAGCTGCTGGCCTCTCAGACTTTAACACAGAGCAGGGGTGTCTGGGAGGTTCTCTTCTCTCATCTTTCTTTTTCTAGTTTTCACTTGGGTGTAGGTGGTGGGAGACTCTGGAAAGATGTTGCTTGATCCTCAGGAAGGAGAAGCGTCCACTCAGCTGGCAAAGAGTGCAGTGATGTTACAGATTGAGACATCACCTCTCCCTGCACAGAGCTGCCTGCACTCCTGCTGTGCTGCCCACCCACCGTGGGTGTCAGGTCCCCCTAGGGTAGGGCTGGCCCTTCTCCTGCCCCTGGGATCCTGTGTGGAGCATCAGTCCCACTCTTTCTGCTCTTCTTTCCTTAACTGTGGTTTACAGAAACTCACTACTGCTATATATGCAGATTATGCTCGAAGCTTGAAGAACCTTGGATTTAAACAGGGTGCACTTCTTTTTGCTTCAAAAGCTGGAGCAGCTGGCAAAGATTTATTGAGTGAGCTTGAATCCCCCAAGGAGGAACTAATCGAGGAGTGACAGGTTATGTGCCAGGGAAGCCGAGGGTGGAAGTAGGCTGGGAGGAGAGCTGACCAGGCTATGGCCACGGTCATGGCTGAAGCCCAGGCCAGTGAGGAAGGCAGGCCCCTGTGAGCTCTCCCACCGTGTAAGGTCGTGTATGCGCAGAAGTCTGTGGGCTGTCATATTAAGAACAAGTTCTCTATCCTATACTGAGCTTCAAAAAATGTGAACACTTCAGAGTTTGAAGGTGTGTATCATTTTCTACTTCTGGATAGAGAGCTTTAAGATTCCTGGAAATACTTTTAATTTTTTTTTAAACTTAAAATTCAAAAGACTGAATCACTTTTCTCATTTACTGAAGTACAAAGATGTTTGAAAAATTAGTAAAGAAGTTTGTGAGACTGAGTCTCGAATATGTGCTGTGCCTGTGTTTATACACAATCATTCCAGATGAAAACAGGGCAGAGGTATTTAAAGATAGCTTACCAAAGCATTTTTTTTTTTCTTACCTTGAAAATACAGTTGATTCTTTGGTTTAGGCAGTTGCTGACATTTGTAATTTTAGGCTCATATTCTCCTGGGGAGGTTTTAAACTTTATGTTTAGTTTCAGTATGTGGGGTCTTTGATATTTTGAATTTCAACCTCTTCTATGATACATTACAGTAACCTTATTTTTTACATCTCTCTTTGTACTTTAATTTTCTGTGTATGTGTTCTTCTAATGGCTGAAATATATAAGTTGTAACAATTATAAATTATTGCTGAGAATTTAAATGTCTGTAACTTACAATAATGATAAATAAAAAGGACATTCCACTCAGGGCTTGTGTTTTTCGAGTTTTGTTTTGTTTTTATTTTGAGACGGAGTCTCACTAAGTTGCCCAGGCAGGCTGGTCTTGAACTCAATGATTCTCCTGCCTCAACCTCTCCAGTAGCTGGGATTATGGACGTGTGCCAGGCCCTTATGTTCTCTGAATGGTGTGTGAAGCCTGGTGCTGTGCTGGCTGCTCAGGAGTTGTCCAGCTGCCCAGCCTCCAGGGTCAGCATTGAGAGGACTGATACCCATACCTGGGCACGTCTGCCTCTGAGTTCCTGGTGGGGACCCACTGTCATTTCCATCTTTCCCCTCCTGGACCTTCCAGGTGGCACATGGCCTCACCCACCAGGATGTATGATTTTTAGATAGGGTCATAGCTTCTCTCTACCCTTGGGAATCAACCACTCTGACTCCCAGTGGTAGGAGACAGCTGCATGGAGAGGAAGGCCTGCCAGGAGTCCTTGCTCCCAGACTAAGTGCTTCAGCTGAAGCACTCAGGACTCACTCCTTGGTCCTGTACCTGGCTTCCTCCACTGTTCTTTCTTTGCTTAGGCAGGTTACATTAGAATTTCTAAAGGTTGTGGGCAAGCACAGCTCTCTTCATATTGTGTATTATTTAAGGTGATTGTTCGGATATATTTTTATTATTCAACCATTGTCTCAGCTCATGCTGCTAAAGCCAGACCACAGACTGGGTGGCTTAAACAACAGACCTTTATTTCTCACAATTTTGGAGACTGGAAGTTCAAGATCAAGGAAGGTGCCAGCAGACTCAGTTGTCCTCACTTGGCCTTCCCTTTTTGCATGCACATGAAGAGAGCAAGATCTTTCCACCTTCCCTTTCTTGTAAGAGCACTAATCCCAGCTGCCAAGTGAACCTTCAGCTCCTAATCTAAACCTGATCACTTCTCATACCTTCACTTTGAAGAGTGGATCCAGGCATTCAGCCCATAACCACCAACCAACTGAAGAATCAGAATGTGAACTTAGTAAGCAGAGAGGAAAAGGAAGATGTTTTATTCCTGAGCAGTATATTTTGAAAATTAAATAGTCTTCAGATTGAGGCCAACAGATAAGCAGCAAAGTGTTACCTGACTATAGAAACAAAGAAGTGAGACAAAGCCCTGCTAGCAGCTGGTTCCCAGTGGGGAGACAAGGCCAGGATCCTGCATCTGTGCTACAGTGCCAGTTAGTGTAGCTGTCAGCGCTCTTGACAAGATAGACCAAGTGTGTGTTCAGATGCAATTGAAAGTCCCCTTCCAACTGGAACTCGGGAGTGCTCTCTGGAGTGCGGTCATCGAGCTGAAACTGCTATACCTATCTCTCTGAAGCTTCTTGAGTCAAGAGCTGAACAAATCTGAGTCATTTTTCATATGCAGCCTTTCTGAGTATTGGTTTATCTTCATGAACCATCTTTAAGAACACTGTCTTACAGAGGATGCATCAACAGATGGCCTCAGAGTGAGACAGCAGCTGGAGAGGGGAATGAGAGCAAGAATGGCTTCAGGGAGCCCCCCACATTCCATGCCAGTCTTGCCTGGTGGGGCCTGGGCAACAGTCGGCAACTTCTGTGACAGGAAGGCCCGTGCTAGGCGCTCCTCCCTCCTGTCTGATCTCGGAGCCATTTCCTTCCCTTCTCTGCTGCCTTTTCCCTGCTCTGTTGCTCAAGGGCTGTTCTACCAAAGGCAGCTTACCTCTTCAGTCTTGGAGGCCTTCTCCTGGCTTTGGAAGTGGTTGCAGGACATTTCGTTCTTTTTAAAGTGGTCAGCAAAGTGTCATCCATGTAAACCTTGTGTCCTTCTCACACTACCTAATTAGAAAGTCTCTCCATGACAGACACTGATCAGAAAACTCTCTGCTGCTTATTTCCTGGAGAATTCATTTTGCATGAGGACACGGCTACATTTCAGTGAATCCTGATATCTTCGTTTCCAGCAACAGTACATGACTGAAGAACAGCATTAAGGTACAAACTTGTGGAGAATTCTGCCAGGCAGGAAAGGCAGACAGTTGAGAATGTTTTAGCCAATGGGGCTATTTCTCAGACCTGACTCAAAACACCTGGTGAATGAAAACTCTTTCAATTAAAATGTAAAGGCATTTTTTTTTTTTTTTTTTTTTTTTTTTTTTTTTTTTTTTTAAAGATAGAGTGAGAGAGGGAGGGAGAGAGAGAGAGAGAAAGAATTTTTAATATTTATTTTTTAGTTTTCGGCGGACACAACATCTTTGTTTGTATGTGGTGCTGAGGATCGAACCCGGGCCGCACGCATGCCAGGCGAGTGCGCTACCCTTGAGCCACATCCCCAGCCCCTAAAGGCATTTTTAATGGATTCTACTTTACACAAAGTCGAGAGAGAGCCCACCTCTCTTCTGCTCAGATTTTAAGTGACTCAGCCTATCAGGCAAGACCCTGCAGACTATTTCAGGCATTTCTATTCACTATTGGGCTTGCCTGCCTAAAGAATCCAAAGAATACCACCCTTACTTTGTATTTTTTAAGGTCACTGAGAAACATGCATAAAATACAAGTGACCATCCTAAATACAAGAGAAAAAAGGATTCCTTTCCATGGGCCACGTGGCTCCCAGTTTTCCCGTCCTCTGTATTTAAAGTTAGCAAAGCCAAAGGTTGTTAAGGAAGAAGGCTGGTTTCTACTTTAGAAAGACTGGATTTGATGAATTTGAGATGAGATAAAAAGACATTTCTCAGTCATTTTCCTAAAAATGTAGCCCTGGGGTTGACCTTCTCCCTCCAGTGACAGCATTTTATAAAATGAAGCAAGACTGCTGGCTTGGGGCCAGGAAGAGGGCTGTAGGGGGTGTCTGCTGCTGTAGGTGCCCCAGCACATGATGTGCAGTCACAGCCCCACTCCCACATCTGCCTGTTTATGTAAATAAAATTTTCCTGGAACACACCCAGGCCCACCTGTTCATTGTCTATGGCTATTTTCAACAAGAATTGAGTACTTGGCGACAAAGATCAGGTGGCCTAAAAAGTTTAGAGTGTTGCCATCTAGCCCTTGACAGAAGTTTTCTAACTCCTGCCTGAGGAGTTAGAAATTGCTTCCTTATGATGTAATCTCTGATGTCCAGCTACCCGACTGGCCACTGATCAGCATGAGGTCCCTTGTGATTTCTCTAGACTGGCTCACTAGGACCCACCTGCTGAGAAGGGTGGTGGCATGCACCCATCCCTCTGGCTCCTTCAGGGCCCAAGTCTCATGGGAGTGGCTCCAGGAAAGGACCATGCATATACATGGGCAGGTATCTCTCTCAACTGCTGAGGGAGTCAGTATTATCACCATCTATAAATGAAGCTCAGTTAACAGGTGGCCACAGTCAAGCAGCTGGAGTGCCTGGAGGCGGTCCCAAGCTCCACTCCTTTCCCCCTTGCTTCCCATCTCTGGCAAGGGTGTTTAGAATCCTCCAAGTGGATTTGCTAGAGGCAAAAAGCAAAAACCAAGGTGTAGTGACAGTGTTAGCTAGAGTGGCTCCAATAGGTGCTGAGAGATGAGCCACTGCCATTCCCAAAGCTCAGACCCCAAGCAGCAAGCAGAGCAGCGCAGCAGCATTTGAATGAGCTAACATGGGTGTCCTGTGGGATCCTGTCCTCCTACCTGTTTATGAATCTTTTCCCTTTGGACAATTCTAAGGTAAAAGCCATCAGTGAATGGCAGGTAAGTTCAACTCCTAGAGCTGTTTCATTATCAAAACTCGTTTAAGCAAATTTCAGTTTTATTCCAACACCCTCAAACCTGTTCTGCTATGAGACCCTCACTTAATTCCAATCTTATTCTGCCATCATTTGTAGCCAAAACACTTCAGGCAAGCTAGAATACGAAAAATCATCATGCTCTCAACCAGTGGCATGCATTACTATTGCAGAAGAGAATCTAATAGATGTCTTACTTGGGAAAAGAATCCTGGGTCAGGGAATCCTCTACTCCTGGTGACTAAGACCTCAAACAATCTTACAGAGCTGAACCAGGAAATGGAACAGAATAATCAGAAGTGAAGAATGGAAAGTTTGCAATATAAGAAAATGGAAGAAGTTCAAGAAGGAAATTGGCAAACCATAAGTTTGCAGAGGAATGTTGTGGGAGGGAAGCCTAAGAAATTATTTCTTAAGAATGATTGGGGGTAATAACTTGGATGGTTTTCCTAAAAGCTACCTGTCCAACAACATAATTCCTTCCTACAGATTTTTGCTTCCCAGTGTTTTACAGGAATGTCTGTCAATCAGAAATATAAAAATTGAGTGTCAGCCCCTTGCTTCTCTGATCTTTGCTGAGTGTAGACCAAGGAAAATACACCTTCCCTATTAGGCAGCTAGAAAGCTGCCTGGAGGACAGGATCCCACAGGACTCCCATGTTAGCTCACTCAAATGCTGCTGCGCTGCTCTGCTTGCTGCTTGGGGTCTGAGCTTTGGGAATGGCAGTGGCTCATCTCTCAGCACCTATTGGAGCCACTCTAGCTAACACTGTCACTACACCTTGGTTTTTGCTTTTTGCCTCTAGCAAATCCACTTGGAGGATTCTAAACACCCTTGCCAGAGATGGGAAGCAAGGGGGAAAGGAGTGGAGCTTGGGACCGCCTCCAGGCACTCCAGCTGCTTGACTGTGGCCACCTGTTAACTGAGCTTCATTTATAGATGGTGATAATACTGACTCCCTCAGCAGTTGAGAGACAGATACCTGCAAGATCTTCTCTCATCCTTGGCAGTTTTTCAGGGACATGTGCAATCTGTCAACTGGGCTTCTCCTGGGAAGGGGGATGAGATCTCATTGTTCCCTTTCATTCAGGACAGGGGTTCTTGCTGAAGTGTCCAGAGATGAGCAGGAACAGGGAATGGAATGAGTGGAAGTGGGAAGGAAAGAGAAGAAAGAAGCACAGATTGATTCCTGCAGCCTCTGAAACGCTCCCTCTGGGACTGATTTCTGAAAATGTTTTTGGACAGAAAGAAATCTGGATGCAGGTGGGTCACCATCTCACCCCCACTCCCTGTCCTGGGGATGAACGCAGGCCTGCCCTACTGCTGAGCTACATCCACAGCCCTTTTAAATTTTTAGTTCAAGACAGGTTCTCCCTAAGTTGCTTAGCTTCTTGCAAAGTTGATGAGGTCACCTTGAACTTAATGATCCTCCTGCCTCAGCCTCCTGAGTCACTGGGGTTTACAGGTGTGTGTCACAATGCCTGGCAAGGGCAGCACTGTCTGTGTCCTTGAGGCATCTCCAGAAACTGGCTCTGTCCACTTTCAGCACTTCTTTTCCTGAAAATCCCACTGTCCAAGGTCCCTTCAAACCCCTATTCCCATTTTTAGGGACCACCAAACTCAAAGTATTTATTGAGCTCCCCACATCTTCAAAGGACCCCTCACCCTGTGGGTGGTACTCAGAGGCAGAGATGAGCAAGATGGTCAGGAATGTGCAGTACACCTGACTTGGAGGAGTTGGGAAAAGAGCACCAAAAGTAGCAAATAGGTGGTGGGAGAAGACTCGGCCACAAGTAAGAGGGAGGCGGGAGGGGAAAGCTGGGGTGGCAGAGGAGAAGCTTCCAGGCAGAATGGACTAAATGGCAAGTGGAGCAAGTGAGAGTGCTGCTTTGGGGCCAGTGTGATCTCAGCAGGCTCTGGCCAAGGAGAGCTTGGAGATGCTGCAAGGAGGCTAGGGATGGGGCCTTCCACCCCAAGTGCTGTTTCGAGGGTCCCTCTGTGATTGCTTGGGACTTCTCCAGGGTAGGCAGGTTCTGAAGGACAGCAAGAGCCATGTGCTCAGCCTTGGTGTCTTGAGGACACGGCACCAGCTAGCTGCACAGGCCACATCTGTCCCCAGAGTGATCGAAGGTAAACACCTCCCTTAGCCTAAGGCTGGCATGGAAGAGTCACGTGCTGTCACAATGGGAGGCAAGGCTTCCTGAAGGAGTTGTAACTAAATCCTAAAGCCTGGAATTTATTGGATGGAAGAGAAGGGAAGGGCCCTCCAGCTGAGGGCCTGCCAGGCAGGGCACAGGCAGGAGCATGCATGAGCTGCTGGGACCCCGTCTTCTCCTCCTCCTGTCTCCTCCTGCTCTGTGTATTTCCTGGAGACAGGAGCAGCAGGGTTCAGCCTCAACTTTCCCAGGCCTCAGAGGGAGAGTGATAGGTCAATCTCCAAGGTCCAAGCCGGGCATGTCCTGGGCTTCCCTCCCCCTCTGCCTTCCCACTGATCCCCAAGGGCTACTGGCGTTGGGAGGAAACAGAGGAGAAGGGAAATTCACCTCTGATCAAGGATGCACAAAGCTCAGCCTCTCAGCAGTGGATATAGGCATTGATCGATGGTTCAAGACAGCAAAACCAGGACGGTCTCCATTATAGAGTCACTACGCAGCAAGAGGAGGAAGGAGCAGGTTGACTCACTGCAGGCTTTGAGGGGAGGCTTGGAACGAGCATGGCCATGAAAGGTGAGCAGAATTAGGACCCTCAGGGCTGAGTGTGAGACAGACAGACACTCCACAGCAAGAGGCACGCCATGGACATGTGAAAATGACCCCAGAGCCTACAGCCAGTAGCTGGCTCCCTTTCTCAGCACTGTCGGAACCAGTCCTCTGGGTGGGCGGGCCTGTTGCTTGGAAGCACACAGAGCCCTGCAGGGCCCAGGCCTGCATGCATTGCACTGTGCAGGCCGGGGGACTGGGCAAGGCCTAGTTAGCTGTTCCAGGTTACAAAAAGTTGTCCTCAGAGCAGTATGACTGGACAAGGTGGCAGAGACAGATGAGACCCCAAAGAAAGGAAAGGAGCTGCCAGCCCTGCTTATGCTGAGCTGCAGACCACCACTGACCCCTCTCCAGCCCTAGAGAGGGAAGCACAGGCCTGGGAGGCAAGGTCTCGGCCCACGCTGCTCACACTGCGCAGCTAGCTGTGCTGTCTGGTCCTAACACCAGGGGTGCCTTTCTCACTGATCTCCTGTCACATGTTGTCCTGGCCACACCTCTGATGAGACTCCCACTATGCTTAGAATAAAATCCCTTTCCATGGTTTGTCGGCAGCGGGGCCGTTCAGGATCTTGCTCCTTGCTTCCTGTCTCTGTCCACATCTCCTGTGGCTTCCTCCTGTCCTCAGATCCCAGAAGGTTGTAGCACATAGAAGGCACTCGATAAATATGTCTAACATGTATATTAGATAAATGGATGCAAGTTAAGGGAGGTTGGGCCTGGTGGGAGGGCAAGGACAGGGGCCTGCTAGAGAGGTGTACCTGCTGGGGCTGGCAGCCAGCATAGGCCTGCCTGCTCACACGTGGCTCTGTCAGCCCATGATCTGTTTCCTCTGGTCTTTCCTCTGGGGCGGGAGATGGAGAGGAGCTGATACTGCTCCTGGGATAAGTAGGATTTGGAGACAGACAAAGCTTTCAAGAGGCTCCAGCACATTCTAGAAGACCTGTTCACCCCTGTGCTCTCTCCAGTGATGATGTGGAGGCCTCTTAGGAGAAGACGCACACATAATGGTGGTTTCTCAGGAATGCCTCTGGCTGCAATATGTCTTCCCCTTTGGACCCCACAAACTGTCCATACAACAGTGACAGCCCCCACATGCTTGATGTGATTGGCTGTTTGGGAAAAGCCAGAGAGGAGGCTGAATTTTGAGTCAAAATGGAGACAGCCTCAGCCCATATGATGAGGGATCAGCTATATGCATTTTGGCCCCAAGAAAGGGACTGCTAATGGGCCACAAGAGTGGCCCAGGGAGGGCCCAGCTTACAGAGGCTTAGAGGAGGGGCCTCAGGAGGGACAGCCCAAGGACTCACCCTGGGCCTTCTCCCTGACAGCTCTGAGAGTTGTCTTCTGTCTGCAGAAGCTTCTAGAAAATTTATCAACAGGTGTTCCAATCTTCCTTTTTTTTTTTTTTTCTTGGCACAGAACTACCCTGCTCGTTCTCATCATATTTATTTCCTTTAACAAATGTACGTGTTATTTTATTTAAGAAAACCTAATACCTGGAGTGTTTAGTGTAATAACATCTTCTGTTGTAGCTGATAAATACAGGACAAAGTATATTTACTTCGAAAAATGATGTGTCATGGTTTGGTGTTTTCATTTCTGAAATCTCTAATCAGATATGAAACCAAGAGGCAGCTTCTGTCCTGAAAAGCCAGGATTTCTGCTCCTGTGTGTGCATGTTTGGGGGCAGCAACTTAGGGGTGAACTCTGTTCCCATCACCCACAAGGTGGTCTGCTGACTCTGCCACTCAGCGTCCTTTCCGCAGCTCTGCAAGTGCCTGAGAGACTGTTCCCTGGAGCAGTAGAGCTGGGGCCCCAGGCCTGAGTTCCAGCTCTGCATCTGGCAGTTGATTCCTGACAACCCCAGGCCTCCATTTCCTGATCTGTAAAATGGATTTAATGACAGCTTAATGACCTGCCTTGTTGATCAAGCTGTAAAACCCTTAGAACAGAGCTTGGCACAAAGAATTTTGGCCCTGGTTATGGATGATACCAAAGCCCTACCACCTGTATAAGTTGAACTCAGTAAACCACAGGGAGAAATGAGTCTTTTCTGAGATGTCCCCAGAAGACTAGCCAGGCTCACAGTAGTCAGTAAGTATTTGCAGAAATAAGTAATTGGGAAGAGCAAAGGTTGTAATTCAGAGATGACAATTTAAAGTTAGAATATTATTTCCAAGAGGAAATTCCAACAAAATATGCCTCAGAAAAAAAAAAAAATAAAAGAAGGGGAAACCAAATGGTCTGAGAAGAGAAGGCATTCTCAAGCCTCCTGGAGACTGACCATGTATATGAGCTCACTAAAGGATCTGAGAAGTCCTGCAGTAAAGCACTGAACCATGTGTATCTCAGCCAACACAGCTGCCTCATTGTTTTCTCTCCTCCTTCCTCCTTCCTTCTTTTTCCTTCCTTATGCTGGAGTGCTTTGAAGTGGGAAGTCACCCAGGGAATCCTGGGTATAGGATGCCATTCTAAGCAGGGGACAGAGCAATGATGCCACTCACCAGGATTTCTGTAATGCTCAGCATGTGGCCCAGGGTCTCAGCCCTGCCAGAGGCTGCCACCCGAACTACAGGGACAGAGGTCTTCTTTCTAGAGCATAATATTGGTGTTCTCTTTGAATTGACCTGATCTTGGTCAACACAAAAGGATTTCATGTCTTTTCTCATAGAGAAACTCCGATATACGAAGCTAGGATTTATATCATCAAATAATTTTTTCCAAGCCTAGATGCTTCATTGAGAAAGAAAAACCCAAAACACTTCAGACAAACCAGAGCCACCCCAACTCAAAAACCCTGAGAAGGGAGCACGCTGAAGAGTCTCTTAGCCTTTTTGGGTTTCTGACTAGTTCATGTCACCACAGCTTTTCTTCTATTGCAGCTGCAAGGACAGCCTTGATATGGTCCCTTCAAAGTGGCACCCTGCCTCTGTATACACTCCTCCTGTAATGGGGTGCCCACTGCCTCCCAGGCTGCCCTTGGTAGTATTCCTAGCTCCCACCACCAGAAAGCGCTGTTGGTGACCGTGAGATGTCTCCAGGGACACCCACATGGAGTGGCTGTCCAGTGTAGTGGATGAAGCCTGGACTCAGGTGGCATTTCCTAGGATAGAATCCCACCCCATTGCTTACAGGCTATGCACAAATGGCTAACAGGCTGCCCCTCTCTCTGCCCCAGTTTGCTCATGTGCAAAATGAAGGACCATACATTGTGTTTATAGAGTGGTTGAGGGATGCGAGCCCTTACAGCCGTATCTGGCCCGAGGCACTGTGCAAGTGTGTGACGTTATTCTGTTCTTAACTGGGACTTCTTGGGGCACCTTTCAGTTCAGTCTTTTCCTGGATTTGCCACCAGTATGAACAAGTCTGGAGCTTGCTCTCCCCAGGCAGCTGTCAGAGCCCACTGCTGCTTCGACAGAACCCCCAAGACGGGGAACTTTGTAGAGTGGAGATTTATTTTGGTTTACGCTTCTGGAGGCTGGAAGGTCCAAGGCCAGGTGGCAGCATCTGGACACAAATGGAAGAGACAAGGCACAAGGGAAGCCTCGCTTAAAACAACTGGTGCCTGAGATTCCAATCCAGTTCCTCCCAGTGCCACGAGGAAAGCAGCGGGGGCCAGAATTAGAGGACTGTCCTCATAGGTGTGGACGCAGCCTTCAAAACATTCATCAGGCTTTTGTGGGGGGAAGTTTGGATGTTCCGAGATTAGTCTGCAAAACTGGAGCACGTTAGGCTGCTCAGGTTCGGGGTGCTCCCCTTTCAAGCAGAAGCTATTGGAAAATGTCAGCGCTTTATCTTTTGTCCTTATGTTTTCTTTGAATGAATAGTAGATGTTTGTGTGGGGGGGTTCTGAAACAGTAGCTGTTGGCTGAAAAATCAAATTCTGGTCTTCAGCACCTGCTCTGTTACTTGGTCAAGTGCTCTGGAGCCTAGGTCCTTGTCTTCCTGCCTCAGCGGTGGCTCTGTTTTCAATGATGAGGGCAGCAAAGGATGGCACTGGTTCCTGACGGTGGCAGAAGGACATTCATCACACAGACAGGCTGCAGTGGCCATCACTCATTCAAGCCATGGTCTCAGAGATTCTCAGGATCAGCTCCAGATACCACTGGTTGGTCTATGGTCTATTGAGAAATCCTGGCTGGCTTCAATTCAATAAATAAGCTACTGAGACCTCCAATAGCACTGCAGGCTGAAGCATTGTGAGCGAAGCTAAAGAGAAGATGGGCCCTGAGGTTTTCTAGGCAGTCAGGACTCTGCCTGCACTTGCAGGTGGGAGGGCGCTCCCTTTACTTGGCTTTGCCTCCAGACCCACCACGCCCCTCTGCATCTCCTCCTTTCCTTCCAGCCCTGAGCAACCTGGCAGCTGGCCACTCCCAGGTGAGATTCGCTGGGAGACTTGCTGGGTGAGAACTGGCCATGTGGAAGCCACTGGAGGCCATTAGACCATTAATGGTAAAGCAAGTCCAGACTAGCAGAGTGGCCTGACCTCACTGCCTGCTTCCCAGAGGGGGGAAGGTGGGTCTGAGTCAGCAGCCTCAGCAGTGAGCCATGAATGCTGCTGCCCTTGGAGACCTGGTGACATGCAGCCGAGTCCTGGGAAAACCTCTTTGTTCCCTGGGCCTGTCAAGCAATTGCCACTGTCTCTCTAGGCTCAACAGACTGTCCCATCTTAAGCTATAGGCTGTCCAGGCAGCTGGACATACTTTAGCAGTAATACAAATGGAAACACTGCCTGGCATTGTGCTGTCACTTCCCAGAAGCATCAAGGATGGCCAGTGACCTCAGAAGTTGTGGGGACAGGGCAGGACCTGCAGAGCCTCTGGAGAGACTCATCCCTGCTGACACCCACTTCAAATTGTGACTTCCAGAAGTGAGAGGGAGCACACTTCTGTTGTTTGAAGACCCCAAGTTGTGTGGCAACTTGTCATGTTGCCCTAGGAAGCTAAACTGTTGACCAAACATGAGGACCCAGAATTCCTCAGGGATGTGGAGTTGTAGGATAATGTCCCTGCTCTTCTTCGTGTGACAGAATTCTCACACCTCGCTGCTGTGCTCTTGCTCTTGTTTTATTTAGACTCTGTTGTCTCAGGCAAGGACCCATGTGTTTGTTGGGAGGGGGAGAGCTGGGATGGAGCCAAGGATCCTGTGCACGTGAGGTAAGTGCTCTACCACTGAGCAAACCCCAGCCCACATTTTGGCTTCCACTCTTGCCTCTGGACCCAGACCAGACTTACCCCATGAGGCACTGGGCCTTCTGCTCTCATTGCCATTCTCAACCCATCCAGAACTTTTTTGGTGTTTCTTTTTGCTGGCTGCTGCTGACCAGAGAGAATTATAGGCATCAACAATCCCTAGACTCTACTGTCTAAACTGTGCTATCCTAGGAGAGTATAGTTTGTCAGACTGTCTAGAGCCATGCGAGTGGTTGGGGGAGATTCAAGAGTCAGGGATTCTCCATAGTTTTGGCTTCCTGAGCTTCTAGAGCCAAGAATGCCTTTTCAATATTATATACCTCTACCTGTGTTCCTTGGGACTACAGTGTCCTGTGAAATATTACCAAACATTTGTTGAAACACCGTGAGCAGGTAAGACTGAAAACTACCCAAATGAATGGAGTTCAACCAGCTTATTCTGTGCAGAACTTGATGGGGCCTTTAGTGCACATACAAGTTGTGCCCCCAGTATTCAGGGACCCTGAATCCAACTGATCACAGTTTTCTGTTATTTTGCCCACTTCTATTTGCCTCTGCCTTGATGAGCTTCAGCAATGAAGATATCCCTCCCTTCTTTCTCATCCAGCCTTTAAGAAAACCACCCTGCCCCTCCCATCATTCCTGTACATCAGTGGAACAACACGGCTTCCGGCCCAGGACCCTTTACCAGGTCTCTGCCTCGGGCACGAGTTCACTTGTGAGTGGTATAAATGACTACATAATCCAGGGCCAGGCCATGACTCCCTCTCAACAAGCTGTCATTTCTATCCCACAGTGCAGAGGTCCTGAAATCCTTGTGTGTGGACTTGCAGAGCCACCCCGTGACACTCTTATTGTCTGATACTCCTTTACTCTTGCTGTCTGATGCCCCTTTCCTGCTGTAGGTGCCTGGGGAACATGGACACATCTGAATGCATGGCACTCACCCCATCTCACACCCCAACCCTCAGAAGCTCCCAGCTTAATGCAAGACTTTCCTCTACAAAATAATGGACCGTTCACTGGGCTAGCCTCCACTGGACTCAAGGCCCAGTGGGCCTCCCCATGGTGGCATCTCCAGCATTTTCCACAGTGCTGGGTGTTTCCAGGTTTTCACACACCTGCTTCTTGATTTGCTGATTCAAGGCCCAGGACACTCAGGCCAGGTGGTGACTAGAGGGTGAGGTGCCTCTAGGATGAGACCACTGGGTCCAGGCCTCCCTGATTCTTGTGCTCTTGGCTTCTTTCCTTAGTATCCATGGTGTTTGGTATTAGCCCAGTTACAATATTTTTCTTTTCCCATGGGCATATATTGTTTTATATTTAGCCTTCTCTAACCCTAATATAACTTATATGTCTTCTAATTACCATCATTTTTTAAAATCTGTCTTTCAATCAGAGCATTAGTCCATTTATATATAACAATATTTACTATATGAGTTAAATCTACTATCTTATCATTTGCTGTCCATTTACCCCACCTGTTTTATGTCTCTTTCTCTCCCCTCTTATCTTCTTTAATTAGTATTTTATTACTCCATTTCCCCCCATTATGTCGTTGTTAATAAATTCTTTACTACCCATTTAGTGATTATCTGAACAATTACATCATTTGACCCTGAATTGTTATTGATGTTTAATATAAATTATTACTCCTACCAGCTTCCAGACAGTGAAAAGGAGCTAGACCATTTTAATTCTGCCTAACCCGCTTCTGACTTACATACAACTGTTATCACCTATAAGTAATATGACAAGGCATATTACTAATATCCCATGTGGCTAATATCCATTTAAACTTGTTTATGTCAACTCACATTTCCATTGCCCCTTGGTCCTTCCTGCCAACTGGGATAATTTTCTCTCAGTCGGAAAAACAATGTTCAGTATTTTCTTTGGTACAAGTCTACTGGTAAAGAATTCTCTCAGTTTTCTTGTCTTTACTGTCTTTGTTTTGCTTTCATTTTTTTTAACTAGAAATTTTCAAGCATTCAGAAGCAGGGGAAATAATGTAACTGACTTCTAAATACTTGTCACCAGTAAGCAATCATCTCACCTCCATGTGTTAAAGATATTTTCAGTGGGTAATCGAGGTTGACAATTATTTTCTTTCAACACTTTGAAGACATTCCATTGTCTTCCAGCTTCTGCTATTTCTATAGAGAAGTCAGCTGTCAGTTTAATGGATTCTCCTGTAAGTAGACCTAATCAATCATTTTGGATCATTTGATCAATCATGTCTGGTGTTTTATACACTGTGAGGCTCTGAATCCTCCAGAGAGGACTGATTTATGTCTATTGCAGGCAGCTAAACAAACCAGATGCATTAGCAACTCCAGGTTACCCTGATGCAATTGGGAACAGAGATGATTCAAAACTAGGCTTCCTTCCTTACAAGGTTTGGTCTTTTTCTGATGCACTATTATTTTTCAAGTATAGCCCTTTGGGGTGCCCTAGCCCTTTTGTCTACAGAAGGCTCCACTTAGGTTCTCAGCCTCTCCTTCAGTAGTTTTAAACCAAAGAAAACACATCTGGGCGCTTCTTGAAGAAGAAGCTAAGACTGAGGAAGCCCTGGTGTCCTCCTACCCGGGCTAGACTGCTCCGTGCTCTGCTGGAGCTGCCATGTGAGTGCTCTCCTCTGGTTCGTGGCAGAGAGCAAGGCCTCTACAGATCTTCCACAGGTCTCATGGCGCTTCTCCACTGATGAGCAAAGTAACAATCACACTGTATAACTGAGAACTGGTGACAACCCATGACACTGAGGCCCACAGCTTTTTATCCCTACACGTTTGCTTTTAGAACATTTAAAAAAAATAAGAACATGAAGCATTGCTGTATTTTTGGCTGATTGGCTAGTGCAGTTTGGTGGGCTCCTGGGATGGAATGAATGTACCATCACCTTCCATATCTGTGGGTTCTGAAGCTGAGGGTTCAACCAGCCCCAGATGGAAAGTATTTAGAAAGCATGTTCTGCTGTTGCTTGAAGTGTACTATATAGTTAGGCCCATGATGGCTGAATCTGTACCAAATACATACAGATTTTCTTTTTCAAGTCACTGTTCTCTAAACAATAGAGTATGATGACTATTTGCATAGCACTTACATTGCGTTAGGTATTGCAGGCCTTGTAGAGATGGCTCAAAGGGCACAGGAGGAGGCACATAGATGATATGCAAATAACACACCATTTTATGTAAGGACCTGAGCATCCACGATTTTGGTATTGGGGTCCTGAAACCAATCCCCTGTGGATTTGCAGGTTTGAGTCACAAACAGCCCATGAGCTATGTGACCTATGTCAACAGCTCAATTATAGTCTAGATCAGGTTCAAATGGACCCCCAAATTTCCTTTTATGGATGACTGTGATCCAAAGGCTCCAGAGGAAATAGAAAGTCAGTTTCTGGGTTGGGGGCAGCTCTAGGGGAGTAAAGGGACAGTCCCAGGGGTGTGGGCTCCAGAGGAAAGTCAGTAGCAGCTACTCAGCTCCACTGTTAGCACAGAACAATGGGGACTCCAGGTGTCAGATCTTTTAAACTTTGAAAAGGAGCTGAAAGTTCAAAAACTATGTTATACCCAGATTTTAAAATGTTGGTGTAACTAAAACAAATCCAGGGCAAGTGTAACAAAATACATCTTTGGGCCAAAATCGGCCCTCACATCACAGTTTGTGACTTCCTTAATAATAAAAGTAAGAAAACATCAGCTTTGCTTCCTTTTTCATTCCCTGTGTTGATACACTGAGAAAGCTGAGATGAGTCAACCCTCGGGGGGCATCTTGGTCTCGCTGTGCTACAGGCCACACCAACACACAAGGGCTTCTATTCCTGCTCACCTGAATTGTACACGCACATTATAAAGACAGTCACCAGAGCGTAGCACCATGTCTGGCGGGAGTCTTGCGAGCGGGACCTGCACCCTGACCCACAGGTCTCCACTCTCCTTACTTTCCACCAGTGAGTGACAAAGGGCTGACTTGCCCCTAAGGGCTGTCCTACTTGTCCAAGTCCCCGTGGCCAAGTGAGGACTGTCTTCCCAGCAAGAGGTCCGCAGGCATCCTGGCCCACTCTCCAGGCCATCACAGGGATAAAGGAAAGGGCAGTGGCATCAAGGCCTGAGGGCACCACCTTCTATCCTTCGCTAGCTGGACTATTCCATCTCCATCCCCTCTCTCTTAAGAACATGGTGACATCCGCGCTGATGAGAAGCAAATTTCTGCAAGCAGCTAGTCGGCCATGAAGTGCTGGTGGGGGGAGGCTGTCAGGTCAGTGTCCTGGGTATCTGGTGGCCCCAGACCTCTGTGTCTAGCTCCCCATCCGTCCTCTGCTCCTCCAGCAAACACCCAGCTGCTTTAAGCAGCCCTGGTCCTGGAGTCCTTATCCCCAGGGCAGGCCCTGTCCCTCCCTTCTTGCCTCCCTTCTCGGTGTCACTGGAGCCTTTGTGGAAAGTTCCGTCACCCCTCCCCATCACATGGAGCTCTGGGGTCATATCCAGTCCAGGACACAGGGCTGGCACTGGGCTCTGCATGCTTATCAACATAATGGTCCTTGTCATTGATGTCAGCCCTTAAATACGTGTCAGTGAGGGCCACATCCTGCCCCTCTGCTTCCCTCCAGGGTCCAGAACACTCCGGCTCACTGGGCTCACCGTGCTCACCATGCTCTTCCCTCGGGCTCCATCCACTCAGGACTCATTGTTCCCCCCCTTGCTCCTGCCCTGAGCACCCAGGTCTCCCTGCCCTGCCCTCCTGGTCTGTGGGACCTTGCCATCTCTGTAGGTACAGAATGAATCTCCACACGTAGGACCTAGAACACTGCTACAGTCTATGGTGGTCATATTTTATTAAGAAAAATCCTGCCAGTGATCTGCTACGGTGCAGGGTTGGCTTGGAGGTGTGGGAGAGGCCCAGAGCATTAGGACGAAGTGGGCATTATGTGCACCTGGCATCTCCGCCTTCCTTCCCATTCTTTACCCTTTCTTTTCACTAATTGATTGAGGGCTCCACCAATCACCTGCCTAATTCACATCCAGAGGGAGGGTACCCTCCACTCTGAAGGGAAGGGAGGGAAAGTCCTCCTGTCTGACCACTTTGGGCTGGAACTCAGCATCTAAGTGTGGCAATCCCTCCCACCAGGCTCTTCCTAGGGCCTCCTTTCCAGCCACCACATCTGGAGCTGGCTCTTACCCGCTCACTGTAGCTTCTGCTATTCAGTCAGGGCCCTCATTCTCCAGAGGCTGAGCAAAGGGAGCCCTTGGACCCACCTGAGTGCAATTTGATACCCCTTACCTACAGCATCATTGAGTGCTGCCTAGGAAGTCTTCAAAGTGGCTGAGAAATTCCACTTCTAGATGTTTTTCTAGAGAACAAGGATGAGCACAAAAACTTAGCTGCAGAGATATAATTGTTGCAATTTTAAATACCCAAGAGTGCTTTAAAGCAATTCTAGTGCATGCCTGCAGTGGAATCCTGTGCTAAGGAAGATATCCGTGCAAATGATGTTGATTTGGAAGGGTCACCTCCAACCTGGATGTCCTCAAAGTCTCCTGACAGGTTGCCATACATCCCTCTGTTCTTCCTAGGTCACTTATACCTTTTGGTGGGTAAGCAGAGCCTAAATCATACCACCAGCATCTGAAAATCCCATAATACGTTCCCTCGGTGTTTAGATAATAAAGCATGAGTTCCATCCCTGGACCACCAGCCTACACCAGGTCAAGGCTCTGGACTCCCCACAACTGGAAGCTTCTCCTTCCAGGGGTCCCACAGGAGCACAGAAGCCTCAACCAGGTGCCCTGAGCTTATCACAGCCCCACCAGTGCCCCTTCCCACCCACCCTTTCTCAGGTCCTGGGACTAGTCCAGTGGTCCCACTGAATGGGGGCACCTTCTCTCTGATAACTTCTAGTGGCCTTCATTCCTCAGAGAGGCTTCCCTTGACCTTCCTATTTAAATGTGGCCGCTCTCATCATTCCACATTGTGCCTTCTTCTTTCTTTGTCTTCCTTTTCTATTTAATAGTCCAGTAAATCTGTGAAGGCAGCACCCTTGTGGGCTTTGCTTACAGGTCCCTATGTCCAGTACTAAACATTCTACACGTTTCTTTCACATGTAATTGGTGCTCAATAAAACGTTAGAAGAAAGAATGTCCATGCAGCCTGCTTGATTAAAAGATAAAATTTCAAAACAATATGTGGAATCGTGACATGTAGAACAGTAAGATGCAACAGAATATTATATCACATTCACTGACATTAAAAATCCAGATGGCTTCACGATCAACTCTCAGTGGTTATGGTAGGATTGCAGATGATTTAAAATGTTCACCTTATCTGTATGTCCTATATTTTGCAAATGTTAACTATGTTTTATTATGTTCCATAATAAAAAATTAAAAGTCATGCTTGTTCTAGTTGTAAAAAGTCTCAGCCACACATCCCCCGAGCTCTGTGAAGTCTTTTATCCAAGTTCTGCCTGCAATTCCCCTGGAAAGGTGGGGCTGGAGGCCTCCTTCCCACCCCTACCCCCAGCCACAGGACCACCTGTCTCATAAGGTGTGTATGAAACCTCCTAGAACCTGAGTGATGCCTTGGACTATGCTTTGTGCCCAGGTGTTTCCGCCAGCACTGGACAGCAGAGGGCAGCAGAGAACAGAAAATGGATCTTGACGAGGTCCCCTTTCACCCTGTGGCAGATCTCAGGTTCACTGAGCTGTTTGAACAACACCTGTTTGACACCTCCGCCCTCCAAAGCCATTAGCCCACGCAACAAGAAATTTCCTAATCCATTTGCATTCTCTTTGTGACCAGGAAGGTGAATTGATGCTTTACATTGACGTTTATTTCTTAGAGTCAGATAATTTAAGTCACCTGTATTGCCCCTGTGCCTCAATGGAAGAAGCCCCTAGTCACAGGCTGGTGGCAGGCTCAGGCTCCCTTCCATGGTGCCCTGGGGGCTTCAGAGAATTGCAGGACGCATGAAGAATGTGAGTGGTTTCTAGAGTTGGACCCAATAAGTGTAGATTCTCCCTCATGTGCTGTTGGGAAAGGGAGTTCCCTACAAATATGGGACCTGGTGTTCCCATACCTACATTTGGAGAAGCAGGAAACTTCCGGTCTGTGCTCTCCAGCAATGTTCAAACACAGAGCCCCGTCTTCTTTTCCACGGTCAGCACCCACGCCTCTCCCAGAGCTGTGGTTGGCACGCTTCTGAGTCACCAGTCTGGCAAAACCCGCAGCTCCCCAGGCCCACCTCCAGCCGCCATCCGGTCTCCGGGTGGCCCTGGAATCTGCACGTTAAACAGGCTCCCTGAGATGCTGTGGCTGGAGTCCCCCAACCTCACCTCCCACAGCTGGTGGACGGTTAAGTCTGGAGGTAAGAAGGACCACGGTGATGGAAATTCAGTCTCTGCTCAGAACCATGGGGAGGGTCCTGGGATTCTGGTACCTTCTGTCTCCTCAGAAGTCAACGTGATGAACTGTTAGAGAAAACATGTCAGTTTTCTACCTTGATGACAGCTTCCTTGTCTCTGGGAGGCCAGGAGTGAACTCAGGACTTTCCAGAGTTGCCATCAGAACAGGTCAGTGCAGACAGCCAGGCTGCAGCCCAGCCCTTCCAAGTTCACTGCAGCTCTTTATTGCACTGGAGAGGCCTTGCACACGTGTGTGCCCCATGTGTGCAGATCCACCAGCCCCAAGTGTCCAAGTTCCGTTGGTGTCCCCGCTCCAGCACACTCACATTCAGCTGAGCAGGAGAATGACTGGATCAGGGACAGGCCCAACAGACCTGGGGGTGGGTTCAGGAGTCCAGATGCCCCACAGTGAACTCTACAAAGACAGGGGGCAGGATCCAGGTGGGTGCATCCCCTGCCCCAGGGACCCCGAGAGACAGGGCACAGTCCTGTGAGGCAGTGCCAGCCCCGCTCCTGGGTGCTGGACAGGGAAGGGTGCTCAGCATAGCAGAGCTGGCTCCTGTCCTCCGAAGACCTGGAAGCTCTGTGCTGACCTTGTGCCCCTCGCAGGGCCAGCAACACTGTCCCATTCCAGCACACCCAGGGACCCTCTCTTGGCAGATCACCCAACTGTGTCCCACCTGCAGAAGCAGGCTGGAGCCACAGCTGCCTCCTGCAGGTGGGGGTCTCAAAAATAGATGCAGTGTCTGGAAGGCCACTAGGGCCTCAGGGAATCCTAGGAGGGGGCAGGACTGGGTAGGGTAATTGAGTGGTCACCATTCCCTGACCTCACCCTGGTGACGGGTTCAGAAGCCCCTCGGTGGGAAGGCCAGAGCCACCTCCCATTTCCACAGAGCAAACCAGCAGAGGAGCCTCCACGGCAGAGCCTGTGCCTGGCTTCGCCTCCCTGCAGGCCAGGCCTGGGCTGCCTGGCCCCTGCAGGAGGTGTAGCCCCTGGGTTGTGAAGGCCCTCAAGGGCCAGAGCCTGGCTGTGGGGCTTCCTCCTGTCAGGGCCTGCGGAGCCAGCAGCCATCCAGGGTGAGCACCTGCATGCAGGTGAGGCTGCGGGCGGGGTGCAGCTCTGTCTAAGGGGGAAGGCTGTGTGGGAGAGGAGAGCTGCTCCAAGGCCACTTTCTGGCTCCACGCCAGCCTTCAGAATCAGAATCTACATGTTAGCAAGAACTCCTCCCCTACCTTCCAGAGCATCTAACACACACTGAAGTTATGTGTGAGAAGCAAGTTTGGAAACCTTTTTCTTT